TATTCCTCGTTTGCGCTTTTTCGGCTGGGCGGCTCAGCTTGTGGATCCACTGGTAGGGGCCATCCACCGTGCCACCGTGGCATGAGCCAACCCGTCCGCAGTTCAGCATGTGCTGCACAGACAGCTGGACATCAGCGCCTGCCAGCTGGCTGAAAAACCGTGGTTTGCTGGAACCATGGAGTCAAACCTCAGGTTTCCTGGCGCTAAAATTTTGACCCATACCCACATCAAAACGAGTAGCTGGCCTTGAGCTTTGCGGGCAATCTTGATGCGATCACCCAGTGCTGATACAGCTCCATGTGCCCAGCAAGAACCGCAGTACCTAACAAGCGATGGGGAAAACAAGTGGAAAATAACGCACACAAAAGAAACAAACAATTCAACGGAACGCGTGAGGTTGTATAAAACCCTTGCAACCTTGAACACTTTCGTGCAATTGTAAATTCGCAGGTGAATATTGCAACTTGTCCGCACAAACGTAGTTCGTGAGGTGCATACACTTTGGCAGCTGGGTGCATAAGTGCGACTGTAAGCGCAAAGCAAAAGAAACACACTTGTACCGTTCCCGTCGCAGCTTTTCCGCGCCTGCGTAATTCGCCGACTTCTGTTGGGCGGTTTTTGCGTTGGTTTCCGAAACTGAACCAGCACGAAACCCAGAACCTCAAACCCGCGCGAAACCTACCCAAAACCCACACCCAAAACCCTAATCCCACACGAATTCCCAGACAAAACCAGCCAAAACCCGGTCCACCTACTCCACAAAACCCAACCATTCCCGCACCCAACTCCCCACAAAATCGCGGCCCGGTACGACATACACGCGCCGTCCCCCCTTTCGGGAAAGCTTCCAACCACACGAAACTCACCAAACCCTCTCCCCACGCGGCACTGGCCGGGAAGCCCACACAAAACCCACACAGCCCACACAAAACCCACCAACAGCTTCCACAAAATCCAGCCATTCCCGCACCGAACTCCCCTCGCAGGGAGATGGTTTCGGCTGGGTTTCCACCAAGAGTCGGCATGAGCCGGAGGCTCTCAAGTGCACGAAGCACACTGCGGCAGATTCAAACGGATTGTTTCAGCTTTGCGTCGCACATGCAGTATCCCTGGACTTCAAAAGGCCTTTTCAGAAACGGCCGTTTGTCGAAGAGCCATTTGTGGCAAAAATGTATGTTTTCACTGGTTCCAAAGAGCCATTTCTGGACTACCATGTCGGCCAATAAGCAAGACCCCCCCCACACAAAGCTGGCAATCATATAGGCCCCAAGCTCAAATCAGCCAGGTCAGATTTTGACTCCCTGAATTTCCAAATCCATTTGGAGACCTGGCTGTTTGCCGAAGGACCTAAAAAAGAAGAACCCGCGTTTTCAGTGGCTTGGGACCACCATTTGTGGAGCTCGATGTTAGCCAATAAGCTACCGCGGCCGTAGTCCAGCCATCACGCAAACCTGTGTTCAAGCTAGGCTCGTTTGGAATCGTTTTTTGTCTTTGAAAAGGTCGCGCAGCTGAGCTCTGTAGACTGTAGCTTTGTCACTTTAACTTGCGTGCTTATTTTGTAGGCTGAGGCGGCATTCGGCGGGATGTCCACGGCTTGTCCACTCCCCTAAATGGATGCTCCACTCACAGAAATGGCTTTTCCCACGCCCACAAATGGCTGCTTTGTCCACGCTTCATTCAGCTTCTCCGAGACTGCTGCAAAACGCCCACTCCGACAACACGCACGTTACGGCGGCTTTTCAATCACATCATGATGCCGACCAAGCTCACATAACACACAAGGCTCCTGGCTGCCGGGCCATGATAACAGCCATCGTTTGTATGGACCCTAAAATGGTCCAGCATTTCCTTAGAATGGTCGTTCAGACATGGGCGAGGACGCTCAGGGTTTGTATATATGTAGTCTGCCTTGCTGCAAAGCTCTCAGTGCTATTAATTAGCCAAGACCTTCAAAAGGCAACCCCGACCCACTGAAGCACCTGAATCGCAAAGCAATGCCATATCTAAGAGCCATTTCAGAATTGGCCGTTAGATGTCCTTTAATAGGCCGTTGGTGAAGACCCATAAATGGCCGAGCATTTTTCTTAAAATGGCCGAGGGGACTAGGCCATTTCAGAAATGGCCTCCGACGTCCAGGGGTATGGAAAGTACATTTTGCATAGTTCCACGAACTCTTCAGATTCGCCGGACACGTGTTTGGCAGCTCCAGCTCGAGGATCGCAAGAATCGGTACACGTGCAGCCCGCAAAGTGCGTTTTGGCAGCTCCAGCTTGCGGATCGCAACTTCCATCCTGCGGCGTGTTTGTACAGCTACAAGGTCTGGCCTTCTTTTTGTTACTAGCAAGCTGTGATATGCCTGCTGACAAGGCAGTTTCCTGCCCATGTTTGTTTTCATGTTTAAGCCCGCTTCGTTTTGCCGCGAAGCGGAATAGTTTCGGCCAGGGTGGTCCGCCGAGGAACGCGGGTTTTATACTCAGCCTCAAGCGTGGCTTGCAACCTTTGTCGACAGTTTGAACGTCGCGATAAACTAAAGGACAGGTGACCCGAAAGAGGTACGTGCCACCATTATTTGTGCTGCTTGTGCAAAGTCTCTGCGCAATTTCCCTCGTTCGTGGCGTGACACATGTAAAGTGAACATGCGTGCGCTGTGTGTCTGTGTGGCTATGTACCTGTGTCTCTCGGTGTGAGTCTGTCTGGGTGTTTGTGCGCGTGTGCGTCTGTGTTTTTTGGTGTGTGTGTGTGTGTGTGTGTGTGTGTGTGTGCGTGTGTGTGCGTGTGTGCGTGTGTGTGTCTGTGTTTGCCTGTCTTGCGCTAAGGGTGTGAGAATCGGAAGGCCTTCAGATGTCCAAATGTTCAAAGGTTTGGGGAACACGACGTTGTTTGCTTGTTGCCGTAAGCAAAGGTGGCAGGGCACCGGTGAAAGTGCCGCATGTTGCGCTGCTCTACCACTTTACTTCGGGCGGCCCAGAGCACAGGTCTGTGCCCATTGGCAAATCCAGGCGATTTATAAACGGGGGCATAGTTTACTGGCGATGCCAGCCTAACACAAAAGATCCTTGGTGGTGGCCCTTGATCACAAATCTAGACCTTGGCTTGGCACATACGCCGAACAATAAAAAAATGCTCGCGGTGAGCATATCTGATTGGTGTATGTCAATTCAATGTGAACATATTGCTCCATGTCGCGAGATCGAAACACACATGCGACATGTTGGTGCAACATCCTCCGCCTTTTCCCTTTATGCCCAGCTGCTGCGGAATGTGCTGATTCAGCGAGATGGTGCAGTAGTTCACGCCGTCCTGCATCAACGTGCATTGCAAAACATGGGTGGCAAACATCATTGTTGCCATGGCAACCTCCATTGCTTCAGTTACTGTCTCTGTCTCACTGGATGCTTCAATGCCCCAATCGATGTGCTTTGTGATATTTGATACCTGAACAAACGTGTCCACAACATGATAGATAGTTCCTTATTAAAAAACAGTTTGTTGCTGGAAAGGAGAAGGAGTGCTTCAATGCTTCAAGGTTTGTTCGTCTGCAGATTTTGCCATGCCTTGGCTGCCAGCAAACTGCTACGTGAAGCCCTTCCATGCCCGCGTTTCCGTGCCCAGCCTTGTTGCACCAGGTGAAGTCGCTGGGATACCCGTCCGGCTCCGGCAGATTCTCATGGGAGGAGATTGACGTGGCGTTCCCCCGCCACACCACACCCAAAGCCTCTGCCTGGCGACTGAGAAGACTGGTGTGGCCAAAGCCAAAACACAATGGCTCACGGATGAACAACCCCTAAACCCCTAAACCCTAAACACTAAACCCCAATGACCAACAGAATGGCCTGCCATGTTCAAGAATCGTGGTTCGAGTGCGAATGCGAAATTCTGAGCTGACCAAAATTATACATACGGCGTATCGTGCGTTGTAAATTGTACTAAACAATCAACTTTCAACCAGGGACTCATCTAAAACCAACCAAAGCCAACCCCGCGCCCCGGTTTCTTGCCTCCTCCCTCGTCAGCAACTCGCTGCGATGCTCGCGAGCCGTGGAGTTGCCCCGCCACACCACGCCCAGCGCCTCCGCCTGCCCAGCAACGCGAGCGAGAGCGTGACGCCCCCAGGGGGCACAATGGAACATACCGTCGGTGGAGCGAACAAGGTGAGTGATTTGCTGCTGGAAACTCTTGATGTTTGGGTATTTATCCTGTGCCGGTGTCACACTTGATGCAGGTACACACACACACACCCAAAAAATGGTACTGCAGTAAAACAGTTGACATGATTGATAGATGGACGGCACATGTTACGTCGCACGTGAAACCCAAGCAAGCAAACCATGCCGCAGGTGAACGTGGAACATGTGGGGAGTGAACATCTGTCACTCCAAGAACTTCATCTTCACATATGCCAATTCCATCTGCAGCCCCAGCTTGGGCCTGTGCCCGCGGAAGCAGCTCACTTTGATAAGTGGCTGGCACCAGGGGGAGGGCTGCGAGGACCTGCAAGTTGCCACGTGTAAGAGTAAATCCAGCGAGATCCCCGAGTGGAATACTTCGACGCACCATTTTTGACCATCTGTCTTTTCAGGCGAAGAAATGAAACATTGTCACTGTTTGTTGCCCACAAAATCAACAACACACCTCCATGGCACTTCCACAAATGCTGGAAACACCTGCGAACAAAAACACCGAGCTCATGCCATTTGCTTCCAAGCCGCTAATGTTCGATGCATGACGACAAATCCGACAGAAATGCTACCCGCTGCTTGACACAACACTGCGGAGCCATGCCAGCGAGGGATGCATGGGAGGGGCAAATGATCAAGCAGCGGCAAGTCTTCCTCAAGCTGGGCGCGTGGTTTCATCAAACCGGGCCGATGCATGGTCTGATCCCTTGGAGGCAATGAGTCCTCTGGTATGCAATGGCACTTCGCTGTGAGCAAGCTGTCTCTCTGACACTTCCACATGACATGCGTTCCACTGGCTAACATGGCTGACCCGGTCGGCTCCTCCACAAAATATCGAAGGTTGAAGAACAAGCCGCCACCGTTGAATGCCACCGTCTGGGTGTCCTCTTCGAACACGTGGACACGCTCATGGCCTCGTTAAGAAATTGCATTTGCGCGCACCTGCAACGCAGGACATGTGCAGGCTCAGAGAATTCTGGCCAATTTTGCAGCACTCATGAGAACGTGGTGTTCGATTGGCAGGGGATATGTTCACAAATGCCAGGCGCGGGACAAGGGACGGAAAAGAGCTCTGAGATAGCCTGAGCGCATTGTCATCAAGTTTCCGTTGTTCCATTTCCACACTGTTGCCAAAACGATAGAAACACCATTGTCAGAATCCCAACCCAAACCCACACGACTGTCACTTGGAGAATTCCACGTGATTGACATGTGCAACATGCAAAACGCAATTGCCATATGCGTTCACGTTTGAATGATTCATCCAAGCTGCGAAGTAGTTGTTTCGAAATGACAACCTTGCCCATCAAACTATTGGATTCAATGAGTCGTTGCCTCGTAGAAGGAAATGGCCTTGTAATTCAAACGCATGATGCGTCCCCAAAACGCTGAGTGTACCTTCTCACCAATTAAGGTGGAACCTGACAAAAGGTCTTTTTAAAAGGAACATGGTCTTTCAGGACCCCCGTGTCAGGTTCCATGTTCATTGCTGGGAGGGAATCATTTGTTGACACAAAACACCACGCGATATGTGTGTTTGCATTGGGCCACTTGGGTCCCGCGGCCAGCAGAAGGTCTGCAAAGCGATAAAGAGCGCCAGTTGCAAGTGCGGCCTTGGTCGCATGGCAGCTACCATGACCATGGTGACGCTCTAACGTGTTGTTGCGTCATTCATGTCAATTTGGGGATAATTAAATACATTCCTCCCCCTCACTAATTGGTTGCTTCAACAATGTTGGGCATGGTGTGGTCTAAATGAGTCTAAATCACATGTATTTGTGCACATGACACAACTCACCATGCGTCTAACGAATATTATGGGGATGTCCCAACTGTTGTGCAACGCTTGTGGGGAGCACATTCTGATGAATCTGGCCGTGTCAGCACAAGTGAGCACAAAGTGCCAGCAATGGCAATGATTGGAGATGTTGTTCCTGGCAAAGTTCGCACACAACCTGAACCTAAGAACCGATTGTGGAAACCACATCCAGATGCCTTGGTTTTGGGTCAGTTTGACGTTGCTGGTGGATTTCCGTTGGAACACAATGTCGTTTTGTCGGCCAGACCCCTCCAGCAACTTAGGCGCCATGCTTTCAGCCGCTGAGTGGATGCCGAGCGATGTTGGCGCTCAACCCACACAGGGATGGACCTTATGATTGATCAGCTCTCAACTGCAACTTGCAATGCCCAAATCCAATTTTGAGGATTGCTCCCAACGGGGTGTTCCTGTCAAACTATCAAAACATCTCAAAACAAGTATTGAACAAATGGGTGCACCGGCGCATCTGTCGCCACGGGAAGTTCCAGGAAACCAACCTGTGCCAAAGATGCAGCATTGCGACCAAACTCGGGGAAGGGTGGACGGACGTCTTGCATGTAGCAACGCGTGCTATGCAATCTGGACAAAACCACCGATGCCTTGCAGAGGTCATGCTGGGGATTGCAATCCACACAGACCTGGCCGTCCAAAAGGCAGCAAACAACCACAAAAACAGTGTCTCACCACCATTGGTTTTGATGCCATCACCAGCAAACAAATACAACGAACGAGCGATCGAGTGCATGTTCCATAAAAATGTGAGTGAAATAAAAATGACGCGCGCAACGTATCTTGCCTCTGATCGATGTTTCACCTGGTTGGACCGTGATGCCATTTGCCTCGCCACAAATTGAATTGAAAGCACTGAAAACTTGTGCGAATTAAATTGCCGCCCTGCCCCCCCCCAGGCCACCCAGGAATATGCAAACTGGATTTGCCATGGCACCCCAAATTGTTGCATCTGACAAAATAACAACATTGCGCTGATGTCTTGATGGCCATGTCATGCAAACAGCGCCTGTGGTCTTGGATAGCGAGGACACTTCCGGCCAACTTTTCCAACATCATTCGGCGTTGGCGCCGGCCTGGGCAGCAAGGACAACTTTACATCCATGTAACAGAAATATGTTCACCCGCTTCGGCCAAGTCAATTGAATTGTGCCTCATTTTGCGTATACATTGAATTGACAGTTCCCCGTCCTGGCCAGACAGGAACTTCTTCATCACACCGACGCAAAAAGGTGGAATGGAAGTGTGCTTCAAACAAATCCTCTTCGTGGGCCCCGCCCCCCCCCCCCCCCCAAACCGACTCAAGTGTGAACCACGTCAAACCTCTGAGCCTCTTCGAGGCCAGCTCTTAGATCGCAGACAGAACGAGCCCAGAACAAATGGCTGTCTGAGCCCAGGGCCGTCAACGGCCGCCTCAGCAAGATGTCACGGACCCCAATGCACCGATTTTGCGCCCGCCAGGAAAATGCAGTGCCCCAGCAGAGTCTGAGATTGAAACGCCACGGATCTGCGCCTGCTGCGACACGCAAGCAACACAGGCAACCCGAAACTTGTGGACTGAGAGATGCTGAGAGGCTGGCGCTTGATTCCATGTACGGCTCAGGTGGCGGCACATCACCTGGCAACTGTTTCAGGTCGGATGCTCTAATTTCTGTGATTTCTCTTTTGCAACATACTGAATAGCACATGGAACCACCCTTGCTTGGCACCCTGTTTGGGCCATTTCGACCCCCTGTGCATTAGTTTTTGCCTGTTTTTTCTGCCTTCTGGCAGCCTGTCCGGGTCTCCGAGTCAATGACTGCATTGCGGCCTTATGTTTCGGTCCTGCGCTACTTCTGTTCCGATTGCCTGGCATCCGGCGCCCTTCTTTTCTTTTTAGGTGCCAGGCACGTCACGGTGCAACTGCCCGCTTCTTGCCAGGTCCCACTCATCCATGGGAGGTGCTTCACGTGTTGCAACGGGCTGTAGGCCCGTGCCCTCACAGGGTGCTAGCTCTGACGTGCCAGAGAACAACAAACCAAAGGCAGGGCCCCACGTATGGTGACCCAATACGTTGCAAGCAATACCACTGTGCACAGCACTTTTGTGAGATGGCCATGAGTCAAAATCCCGGAAACCCCCAGTGCACATCCCAATCCAACCACTAAAATATGGGTTCCAAAATGGGTGGTGAATTCACCCACCAAAATGGGATCCCGTTCAGCGGTCTTGACACCACCGCCAGCTTCATTCTGCGCCTCCAGCAACGTCTGCAGCGTGCCCTCCCTCGCCGGCTGCTGAAGGGCGAAGTCCTCGGCCTCGGAGGCTGTGATCAGGATGCGGTCCTCGGCGCTGTGCTGCGCAGAAGGCCATGCCACTCGTCACCCCAAGTGATCCAAAGGAACTACCCCAACAGCAGGCCAAAACCCAGGGGTTCATTTCCCCCAAAAGGAGAAGCCCTGGGTTTAGGCCTATTCTTGGGGTACTCGAAAAGTGGAACCCTGACTTCTTGGTGCCATAAGTAGGGAATGTGGGAATGAACCCAGGGATTCGTTTAAATCGGGGTCATTCCATTTCTCATTCCCTTCATCTCTCGCACTGGCAAGATAAAGCCCGGCTCAGGTCGATGTCCTGACCAAGCACTGCTAGGCTATGCAACGAAACGAAGCACTCTGCAGAGGAAACGGACACACCAGGCACTGTAAGGCAACTCCCACACGACCCAGCGCATCAGCTGCTGATAAAGCTTCGCGGAGCCAGGGTCCACTGCCGTCATCTATGTGGAAGTCGTCCAAGCGCTGTAAGAGCACCACACGCACCTGGCAAATGCTGCATTCGATTCAAGGATCACGTGCATTTTTCCTGTGTTGATCTGTGGGCCGCCCGCAGGAGTTCCCAAATAAACCCTCCCTCAAGCCTGGGTTGCTGTGAAATGGAACAGGGCTGAACCAGGTTTGCGTTTCTCTACTCGAGATCGCGTCAGCTGCTCTACTTCATGTCGCAGCTCGAGCTTAGTAGACAAGTATAAGTGCTTGGGGAAATTGAACTTGTTTCAGGTACCCCTGAATTAGTGGTTTGGATTGGTGGTTTGGGGAATCGGACCCCGTAGTTCTTGTTGGGGGCAGATGTGAAACCAATTAGAGGGAACCTGAGTCACAATCCAAGCCCGGCACTAAAATGGTGCACCCAGAACCGTGTGGCCGTGGGTCAAAATCCAAATCGTACCCCCAGTGAACATCCCAATCCAACCACTAAAATAGGTTCTAAACTGGGTGGTAAATTCACCTACCAAAATGGGATCCAAAACGGTTTTGGCAACCACAGCCATGTAAAGACGCGGGTTTTGAGGTCCCCGGTTTTCAGGTCCCGGTGCCCCCAGGGCCTCCTGGCCAACCGGCGCCCACTTGCGGAGCACCGACTCATGAAGGAAGGTCAGCTTCCCCCGCGCGGTGGGCCGCGCAATGACCTCAAAGAGGCATGCCGAAAGCCCTTGGCTCAAAAGGCACACCGACAGCCCTGGGCGTTTTGTTGGGGGCTTTTCGTTCAATTACAATAATCATAAACACAACAAGAGGTGCTCCAGGGTGGTTGTGTGCTCGGCCTCGTGGCAGTTGCCATCGGACTTACTCCAAACGCTTGATGCCAAGCAGTGCATACATTGCTGAAGTCGCTACAGTACGTGGCAATGGCAAAGACACCGACGCAGGTAAGAACAATTGCCTAAGGGTGGTTAGCTTCTTTCATCATTCAAACAACACGTGCAGTTCAACCAGAAGAAGCAGCAGCAGCAGCATCAGCAAGCCCTTCGACAAGCACTTCAGGGTGAAACAGCCTGTCCGATACGTGGGCGTCTCTTTTCTCGTGTGCACCCTTTTTGGGTTGGTGCCGAAGGGACAACCAAGAGGAAACCAACCATTCTTGGGAGTCCAACCTTTAAAAAAGGACGAGCCACCCATTCTGCCAAAGCGCCATTGCCTCCATGAGCCCATGCCGAGGCTTGCTGGAACGATCCGTGTGGTGCCCTGGAACGCCTGGCATGTGAAATTCATTCATCTTCCCCTGGTTGCCATTGGAATGGGGGGGGGATTTCAGAATTCGTGGAATGATTTGCAATAACAAAAGGAGTATACACAGAATACAGAACCGTTTTGCACAAATAATTCAGTGCCCAAAGAAGGACACAACATAATCGAGGCAAAACAGCCTTTTGGGAGGAACTAATCCAAAGTCTAGTTTCACGCTGACCGAATTCGACTCAGTTCTGGGCCGATGCCAAGCAAGACTAAAACAGGACCAATTCCGGACACGGACTCTGGCTTCTCCTTGGTTGCTTGCAGCTAGCTGCCATTTATTTGCAGCCACTTCCCCAACCCACCTTCCATTTGCTGAAGAATATTCTTCGTTTTCCCCTGGTTTTAACTGGCATCTAGTACTCCCGCATGTTTTTTTCCCAGAGGCTCCTGGGGCTTTTAATAGAAGACCCGACCCCATTAGACCCCCCGGGAATCGGTGGTTGGGAGTTGGGGGTCTCAAAACGTTGTTTGAAGGCCAAAAAAAACATCGGGAGCCTCTGGGCTATATCTTTTCCGGGGCCCACTCCCCACTCCGCCCACGCCGCCCCTCAAGCCGCTCCTGCTATGGCCGGCAGCCAGGCGCTTCTGCCAAAGCCTTTCAGCAGCAATGCCACGGAGCCCTGGGGCGGCGGCTGTGGCACCTGCAGCCGCAGCCGCAAAGAGGCACCTTGGGGCATGGAGGTGACTGGGGTCCTTATTTTGACTGTTTCTGCGGTTAAAGTCAGAAACTGGGGTTGTGTCCTTCAACCCATCACTTTAGGGGTGACTTTGATAAAGGGAAAATCATGAGGCCAGGGTGAGGAAACTCGACAACGGAGAGGAACACAAGGCTTCGCGAAAGCTGGACAGGTGGGACACACATCAGGCTGCGCGAAAACACATGACGCCAGTTGCTGGACAGGTGGGACAAACGCGGACTTTTTTCCGGAAGAGGGCACTTGGTTGTGTGTGCTGGTGCTTTTGTTGCGCGGCTCAAGTTACTTCGCCAGCCCGGGCTAGGTGAAGCAAGGTTTTACATGCTCAACCGGGCACAGTGTAAACAAGTGTCATGATTCATGATCCACCGCGAGGATTTTGGAACACGTCGGGTTAGCACCCCCCAAGTTCAAAGGCAACATAGCGCACGAGTTGTTTCCCTTGCACACTAGCCAGCCCAATGCGCAATACTGCAATATACTGCAATTGCCGATCCCTTCTCAGCCAAATCGTAACAGCTAGACCAGCTCTGAAATTATGTTTGCCTTGTTTTGAAATCCTGAATGTATCTACTCGGCCGTCACGCTTGGAAGCCAAGTCCTAAACTTCCCGCCTGTTGCTTGAGATGACCCCGATGCCTAAAACCCGGCTCAAATTCAGCGCTCAAAATGGACGAGGCACAGCCCAAATCCTAAAATCCCAGAAACTCCGAGTCCTGTTCTGAATATTCGTCCACCTTGTATTCAACTTCCCCTTGACACATACTGCCGCGCAAAACTGACGGAACACATAGTGAACATCCTGAATCCTAGACCCTAAAGCAGAAGGCATGACTCCTGTGCTTCCCCAGGGCTTGTGTTCTCTTCAGTTTCACTAGCCCTGGGGGCTCCGACCCGAAAACACGGCCATTGAGCCCAAGAAGCCGCCCACGTCAAGCGTGGAGGGCGTGGAGTAGCCCGTGACAGTGGCCTTGGCCTCTTCCGCAGAGAGTGCCACAAGGCGCAAAGCAACATCCACCGACCACCTGGGCGCGTAAGCCACTGCCACTCCATGCCACATGCATGGCTTGGGTGTGCCACCAGCCAGTGGTATTTGCTCCTTGTTCATATGGCAATCACAGCTTGCACATCGGCTGTCTGTATCTATTTTCTGCCACGCAGCTCCAAGGGCATTTGGAAAGAGGGCGTGGTCGTGCTGACCGGCACCTCTTGCGCCTGCTCTTCCAGTGCTGGCATGTTGCCTCCGCCATTCGCCTGGCAGGGTGACCAGGTGAAAGAATCACAAAGCGCAAGCAGTTGCACTTGATTGCATTTGCATTGGCTTGGAAGAATCGGTCCGAATGCCGCGAGAGAGAGGGAGGGGAGGGGAGGAGGGGAGGGGAGGGAGGGGAGGGGAGGGGAGGAGGGGAGGGAGGGGAGGGAGGGGAGGGGAGGGGAGGGGGAGGGGGAGGAGGGGAGGGGAGGGGAGGGAGGGGAGGGAGGGGAGGGGAGGGGAGGGGAGGGGAGGGGGAGGGGAGGGGAGGGGGAGGGGAGAGGGAGGGAGGGAGGGGAGGGGAGGGGAGGGAGGGGAGGGGAGGGGAGGGGAGGGAGGGGAGGGAGGGAGGGGGGGGAGGAGGGGAGGGAGGGGAGGGGAGGGGGAGGGGAGGAGGGGAGGGGGAGGGGAGGGGGAGGGGAGGGGAGGGGAGGGGAGGGGAGGGAGGGAGGGGAGGGGAGGGGAGGGGAGGGAGGGGAGGGGAGGGGAGGGGAGGGGAGGGGAGGGGTGCATGAATGGATCGGGTCTTGGGCCTGCATCTTCTTAAACTGCTGCATTGAGTATCAGCATGTATGAAAATCAAGCCCCACCCCCACCCCCAATGCATGCCGCCAGAGCCGCCTGTGGGGACAGCCATTTTTGGAGCCCGCAGCAATCCATGATGCCAGGCCAAAGGCCCCAAAGGCCCCAGAGGCCCAAGCTGGCAAGTTGATGACTCATGGTTGGATCTTTCCCGGGCTGCGCCATCTCATGTAGCATGCACAACAAGGAGTCAAATCAGCATAGCAGGTTCCTTCCCATCATGGAGGACAACCAGAAGTACAAGCGAGAGCGATCCATCACTTGAAAAAGAGGTGGAACCCATCTAGAAACTCTGGGTACCACTTCAGTCAGGACTGGGTTGAATGGCGCCATGTTGCATGAAACCAGCATGATGCCATATACCAAGAGCGAAAACCATGCCACGTATTTTTATCGATCTGCAAGTGCAAAAGGATGCCAAGCTGAGCGGCGTTCATGCTGCTTTTAAAAACCTATTAATTTCTTTGTAAAGCAGCTCAAGCAGCGGCTGGAACATGTCACAAGTGCAATGCGCTCTGCCACTACGAATGTCTGGGTCAAGCCCTTCGCCAAACGCTAGAGCATACGGCCTCCGCCATCAGCTTGCTTCTCCTTGCGTTTGGCGGAGCTTTGACGCCTTTCTGTCACTCGCAGTTCACCCTCACAAAATGCCACCTGCCCTGCCATCAATGGGCTGGATAAGCTACTGAGCTTGATGTGGTTGAGCAAGACTGCGCTAAGCTACCAGCCGCCACCCTCCCCGCTGAGGCATCTTCCGAAACCTCCAGAAAATACGTCGCTGCAGGACTGCAGGAACGCGTGTTCATGCGCCGGTTCAAGAGAGGGGTATAACATGTATGGCTGACTGCTGACATCCCTTTCCTCTCCCGTGGGCGTCACATGCTCGATGACAACTTGCGAGGATCTGTTTCAGCATTCTTTTCGGGCAGAACCATGTGGCGGCCAATGCGAATGCCAAAGCCATTGGCGCGGCCAACGCCTTCAGCTCGCCCTGGGGCTGATCTCCATCGAGGCCGTCTGACCAAATATGGCTGTGAAGGTCGTGACGTTCATGTGCGGTTTCTTGCTTACTTGCCACACGGCCACGGATCGAACAGGACACACAGGATCTACCCAGCACGGAAACAAAACAACTGGACATCCTGGGAGGGTACGGTGAGTTTGAAGTAGTCTTCAAAGAGTGTGCATGGCTTTCAGCGCGGAGTGGTGGGCTCGCTTTTTTGAGAATCATGAAGGCATGGAATCTGACAACATTGCATCTTGCTCTTGCAAGCAGCTGTGAAGCATTTCTGGGCCACCATTGTTGGAATCTTAGAATCTTTCCAGGCAGATAGACCCACAAAGCAAGTTGCCCCGGGTCAGTGGGAGGTTTTCCATATGAGCCGGACTTCCAAAGCACCACGGCAGAACAACAGTATGAGTGCAGTACTGTGGATGGACTCTATTCATGGCACACCCACTTGGAAACCATGGAGTTGAAACCTTTTTGGGTTTGTGTTTTACAAGGGAATCGAATCATTCCAGGGTTAAAACCATTGTTTGCAAAGCAGTTTGCCGGAGAATCGACTCAGAAACCCCTGGGGCTTCTCTCTTCGGCGCGAGCGGAGTTCGCTGCCTGGGACTGCTGACTTAGGCTCCTGAAGGGCACCCACGGCGTACCCTAGTTCACATTTTCACGAAGCCTCATGGGACTCATGGGTTTCAGAACAAGCGCGTGCGGACATGGCCCAGTGTGTTATAGTGTTTTTTTGTTTTTCTTGAAGTGGCATAAAACATGCATAAAACAACGGTGGAGAAGGCACGGAGGAAGCTTAGAAAGACTTTTACCCTAGCCTCACGGGAGGCGTGCACCAAATGTCCAAACTTGCAAGAACCTGTCCTCTTCAATGTGCTTTTGGACCTCTCTCTCTTTTGCCTTGGACATTTTGATGTGCCAGTCTTCACTTCATCAGAAAGCGGCTATGCGGCCAACAGCCAATGACTACGTAGTCCTTATGTCAACGTTGCCCATCGGACTTCATTTCATCCTTGTGCCCTCCACCTCGTTCCAATGTCCCTCGTGTACAACCCTGTGTCACCGCAAATGTCAAGCTTCGTCGGCAGTTGCATACGAAGCTTAGCAAATACACCTTGAGACGCAGGCAGCTTCGCCGAGGTTTGCCCGACTTTCCGGCACATTGCCGGCAATGGTCTGTCTTGAGTCGGGCCTGATCAAACAGCGGAAAACTCTGAAAGCTCCTTCTCCACTGATCTCTGGCTGCCTGCTTGTGTGCCCGTGGCACGACCACTGTAAGTCACCAGGTCCGAGGCACGCGCATGTTGCCACCTCAGTCTGTAGCCCATCCCATGCGCCTTAAAGCGTCCTCTGCCGAGTGTGGGGCCCTCATCGCCAGACTCCTCCAACAGCCAAACGGGCTGCCTGGGCGACAACTCCTCACGGCGCCTACTTCGCTGGCGCTCCCAGGCACTGAGGCAGGTGCCCATGAACGGAGACCGGCGCCGTGGACGCCGAGCTCTGCTGTCTGCCTCCGGCATGTCTCAAGCTTTTGGGTCGTGTCAAAAAGGAGGTTCTCCACATGCCTTTCTATATCCCCAGGGCCAAGTTACATGGTATAGACACAGAGCCTGGAGACTGGGGATGAAACAACCATACAAAGCAGCTTTCAAACTCAAGTTGCAGATGTGGATTTCATTACAACCTTACAATGCACAAGTGAAACATAGTGAAACCTTTGACAGGTCGCGCAAGAAACTTAACATATCTTAACATATTTTGCTTGCCGATGGCGCTCCCTTGGCTGCCAACTGGGGCCCAGGCGGAAGCGAACGGACACGGGGACTCCCCAGCCTAACATCACGGGTTGCATGGACCAACCATGCCCAGCACAAAGCTTCTGCAAACCTCAAACAAAACATTTGCTTGCTGGCACTCAGTAATTCGGGAATGACCCAAAATGAACCTAGGGCTTCCCTCAAAGGAAACCATAGGGGAGTGTTTATGGGGGTCATTTCCTCATTTTTGGCTGAGAAGCAGCAAGTTGTTTGATTCCTGGTGCCCCCCTTCCCCCGTCCACAAAGGCTGATTGGGCCCCAGACGCTCTGTGAACAACTCCTTGAGCAAAGGGTCGTGGCCATATTGGCTGGCAAGTTCTTCCCGGTCCGTGCTCCAACCTGAGTCTACACTCCCGACGCCATGGGCTCCACTTCTTCCCGTCACTTCCTTTCCTGTTCCTCATGGGGGCACACAAGAACGATCTCAACCAACGACAGAGCGAACCAATTCGACATGGATTGGATCACGGCCTTCCGGCGCGTCCTCTGGATGCTCCCAAATGCACTGGTCTGCCTGCAAGCGGCCAGGCAAACTGAGTCAGCACTCAGATTCTCACCAACTCGCTTGCTCGGCTGATTGAAACCCGACCATTGGCCCAAATCTTCAGCCCCAGCCCCTCCCACCCCAAACTCCCGAAACAGAAGCCCAAGGTCATTTGGGTCCTTTCCCATGACCCATCCCTGCCCACCAACTCTCAGTCTCTCAGACCGGGTGAGGCCTTGCACCAGTTGCTGTCAGCACCCGTCACGAAAATGAGGGCCTCGTCCCTTGGCGCCTCTGCAGGCGTCGACGGGCAGGCCGGCAAGATGGTTTCTGGATTCGTAGGCTATCTCCGTCTCCATGGCCGCATGCGGTCCATCATTCACTCCATGAACGTATTGGGCAGAGTTTGTGGGAGTTGCTACTTACATTTCCCACATACAAAAATGCGAGGTACCACTTGTGTGAGCAAGGCAACTGCAAACCATGAAATCCTCTGACCAAAATTCAACGATTCAGGTGTTCAGCCTCCCCACATTGCACAAAAAAGGCCATGTCACTAGGAGGGTCATCATGCTACTTTCACAAAGGCACTGGCAGTCTGAACAAAATCCTGTGCTCAGGTGGGCGGAGCAGGTTGATGATTCGAAAAGGAACTGGCTAGATCAAGCCTGCCTGCACAAATTTCGGCTACCTCTCTCTCTCTCCCTCTCTCCCTACGACACTGCTCCAGTCTTTGCGAAATGCTTGTGCAGGTACGTACAATCTTCAATTTGTGCTTTTTGAGTGCAACTAGGCTGCTGCTCATTCAAAACAGATGATCGCAATGTCGGATTCGGAGGCTGCCAGTCGCTCACTACAATCAGTCGGCGCTAATTGCGCGGCTAGTTCCCGCAAATGACCAGGTCAACGCACAAAGGCCCCAGTCATTCATGCCACCAGCAAGGCTGCCAATTTCTTGCCCGCATCCAAAAGATAGAGATCATGATTTCTCGGTTGCTTTCTGCTCCCCTGCTAGAAGTTTAACTTTTAGTGTTAAAAAGAAACAAAACATTAGTTGGCAAAAAGCTCTAAAGTCCTAACATCCAAGCAAACTGCACCCAAGATTTGTGAGTTGCTCAGAGCCAGCGCTTCGAGGTCGCCTGATCCCCGCGGCGCAGGGCCAGCGCCAGCTCCCGGTAGACCGCGCGGGCCCGCGGGAGCATTGGGCCTGGCGTCCAGCCGCGGGACCGGGGGAAAGGCGACTTGTGGCACATGCCTGGATCGCCAAGATGCGATCGCTATTTTCAGTCACTGTTGCCGGTTTTTGGGGTAACGTTCATGAACAAAAACAGCAACTGGCGATTCAGGTGGGAAGGAAGTGACCAGATCCGCGTGCCAGTGAAGTGCGGGCTCCCCCCCCCCCAAAAAAAAACCGCTTCATTTGTGGGCGTAGTGCCGCTTCCCAGGCATGCACACCAAGAATATTGTTCTAACGACAAAGTCCAACTTCAGCAGTCTCAATCTTTGGCAAAGTGATGCAGGCATCACCCAGCAGAAGCAAAATGCACGGCGAACCCTACTTCACCATTGCAATCATTACTTCGGGACTGGATCGCACATTTGCTGGCAAAAGCAGCAGGGAAACAAGAAAACCACCCAACCAAACAAGCAACAAAGCAAGGAAGAAACCAAGGAAGCAAACAAACACAATGGGCCGCTGACACAATCCAAGTGGTTGACCCTTTCAACTTTCAAGCATCTGAATTCACTGGTCCGGCCCACATGGGGAGGGGGGAATTGCGCGAAGTGCCTAGCCTCCTTTCCTCGGATCTGCTTGCCCTTTGTGCCTCAGAACCTTATCACATTAGTTCAATCAATTCAATTATGTGCAGCTCAAGGCGTGCTACACTCGTGCAGTCGAGTTCTCAAGCGTAGGAGTGGGGCGCTCTGACAAGTTGGCACTTCTGGCAAGGTGTCCGTTGTCTTTGGTGGCTTGGCAAAAAGTTGCGCGACATCGCCTTCTGCAGGCTCGTCCGTCCGTAAGAGCCTGCGGGAAATGGCGCAAGGCAACGTGTTGGCACTACGGGGTGGGTTTGCAATATGTGTTCATGTCTCACTTCTTCCCAAGCCACTGCCAGCAGCACATAGAAGCAAGCACCATTGCATCAAATCTTCACTGCACCCACGCCTGCCAAATGATAAGCACACCTCCCAAGCTTGCCCGCTCAGCATTGCATCCACGCTGCCAAATGGTAAGCACACCCTCTCAAACGCACCCGCCAGGCGTAGATTCATGGCTGCATCCACGCCTGACAAATGATAAGAACACCCGGCTAAGTGCGTCGGCTCAGCATCGTATCCCAAGTTATACGCACACCCGCTCAGGTGCATCTGCTCAGCACTGCACCCACGCCTTCTTTTCAATCCACTCACTGGCTGCTGACCTAACTTGTCGTTTTCAAGCAACGGGAAGTTGGAAATAGACCTCACAACGAACATGAGCTCGCATTTGACTACAGAGTCGGCCTTTTGGGTGACCCGGCTTAGACTTTGTTTCTGGGCACAGTACACTCTGCCTGCCAGTGGGGTTCACTTTCAGAGTGCCATATGTCTAGGCCTTTCTTACTTGGCCACTGCTTTTGGAAAGACGCGCCGGCTGAAATGATTTCTTGGCCGGCAGCAGTTCCCGCTCTACGTTCACGTGTTGCATTACTCTGCAATGTTGACTGAGTGAAGGATTTGATTGAAATGGGTATGAGTCAAAAATCAACCACCAAGGGACCACGGGTTTTAGTTTATGTTTCCATCTGCCAGGGTTCCATTTTGGGTACCTTTTTTGACCCACAGCCAAATCACTCCAAAGGTGCCCGCCACCAACTAAAACATCAGCCTGCGGCATGTGGTGCACACTTTCTGCACTGCCGGTCTAAGTCGATATGGGGGCACCCGGGCGAGGAAAAGGTCACCTGACCTGTCTAGAAAGCCATGGACCAAGGCAGAAGCAAACACTCCATCCTTTTCGAGGCTCTCAGTTCAACCGACCAGCAAAGCAGCATGTTTTTTTGTGCTTTTTCCGGGACAAACAAGGCATGCACAAACTTTGGCTTCCATGCTGCCAAGCTCCTTTGATTGAAACTCGGTGGCTTCGTAGATTCCAAGAGGCAAGCCAGCCAAAGACATCCAAAACAGCCAATCCACAACGGAGGTCGGGCATAAGGTTCTGCACTATCACGTTAACCCCCGGTCAAAAGACATAACATGATGCTGCATTACATCCTAAGCTTCTCACTAGAACTGATTTCTTCCATCGTATTGGATCTGGCCATGGCATGCGACAAGTCGCATCCCGGAGCTGCTTCCCACCTGGTGGATTTGAGCTCCCGCAGGCCATCCAAACATTCCACCACGCTGAGGCATGTGGGCCTCATCCAAGGACACCAGGCCCCCAACCACGCCATGTAGCTGTGACCTCTGTTTTTTTGGTTGTTTCCTTTTTTTCTTAGTACAGGTTTTTTGGCAGCAAACTGATGGTTTTGGAAGCAACCCCCGTGGAACATGAGATCCTGGCTGTGTCCCTGCCAAAGAACAAATGGTAGCCTGAAGCTCAATCAATACGGGCACCTGATTCAAAACGGAATGACAGGCGGTTGTGACTTGGGGGACCCACTTTTGGACCAAGGCAAGGCATGCATGGCTTGAAACCGCCCCTCTTGCTACAACTCGCTGCAAGGCCTGAGCGCTGCACACACCTAACCAGAACACAAAGTACCTCTGCAACCTGGGCTTTGAGGCTACGAGGCACGGCCCAAATCGAGGCTCAATTAGCCGTCATGCTCCTTCCTTATAACACTGCTCTAGTCCCTGGCTTGCTGCATCCAATTAATGCATGGGATGCACAAATGACAGCGGCAAACATGTCTTGCTAGATGTTTTGCGCGTGGTTGCAGGATCTCAGCAAAAAGGCCGACTTGCCCACAAAGCAACTAACCATTGCCGCGAGGCAAAGCTGCCTCGCTTCGACCGCTGTAGGCCTGCGAGGCAAGGCTATTCCCCCAACTACTCGCAGAGAATTCCCGAATTCAAATAAGCCAAACAAAGCAGAAACCGCACATTTTAGGATGCGTCGCTGCCCTGACGCGCTGAAAGCTGCTCTTGAAGTCTGGGGGCCTCGGGTTTTTTCCTTGCGGCCCAGCCAGCATTTGTCCGCGACAACGACCCATCGGCCAGCTGCTGCCTCTGCAAGGTCATGAGCAGGAGTCCGTATGGGCGAGGGGCTGAAACGCCACCTGGGCGGGCGTGCACCAAATGCGGTGCTGAGACAAACTGCATGTGCAATTGCTTACTTGCCTGGGTCAAACACTCATGGACAAAGGCTCCAGGTTCTAGCAGTCTTTGGGATGCAGCGGGTTGGGAAACATGCTGAGTGCTGTCCAAAGCACTGGCATTTGGACGCATTGACAAAGCCCGTTCCTGGGAGGAATACCTGCGGCAAACTGCATCGACGCTCTACCAGAACCGGCAGCAACTAAAACTCCAAACCTGATACATATCTCACACATCACATACTATACGAATACGTATGTCCATATATTATGTATACATAACATACTATTTTATACATATATATATATATCATATATATGTATTATACGTATCACAAACACAGCCTTCTGTCTGCTTGGCACACTCGCTCGCGCAGCTGATGCAGCAGTTCGGAATTGTGAAACTGGCAGCCTGCGCGAAACGCAGGATGCATCAAATGTGGAATGTTTCGACGTAGTCTTACTTGTTATTTCGTCTTGCACCACGTGTTGAGGGGAAGCGCTTGAACTGATCGTTGAGAGCAGCCTCTGGTATGCTGCGGGGCTTGCTTGCTTGGGCCCATCAAACGAATGGAAGCCAAATGCCCAAACAAGGCCTGCCATGTAGCGTCGGTCCAGGGCTGTCAGGATCTGAATGTAGGCAGTGACCTCAAACGCCCGGACCAGGACCTATGGTCACAAAGAACTCTCAGATTCCACTTTCAAAGTCTCAAGGATCAAGGACCGAAATGATACTAGATCAAATCACATCAACGCGTTGGCACTGCTTTGCGTAGCCTGGCTAAGACTTCTCACAGCATTGATTGGCGACAGCCAAAACACTCCGCAGTGTCGCATAATTATTCTTTCCCCTAATGGTTGGAATAAACAAATCGTGTTCTCGCCAAACCCCAAAGTCCTTATAAGTGGAATTTGGCCAATTCTAAACAAGCACTAAACCAGCATTTTCACCCGCGGATCCCAAGTGCTTTGCACCGGAGCTAGCCAAATTCAAACCAATGCCAAGCAGTACTCAATCGATTTATCCCTGTTCGGAATCTTGCTTGGAAAGCCGTTTGAGCGATTTTCCAGCTGGAGGGGGCCCAAATTTTTCACAAATCCCGAAGAGTACTGAAGAGGACGACGAGGAACGAGGACCGGAACATTGCGATCAAAGACTCGCTCTTCTTTGAGGGATGTTTCGCACTAAGCGGCGCGCGGGACAGTCTATTACCACGAGAAAAGGGGTTTAAGAACTGTTGTGGTTGTTGTTGCGGTCTCCTTGGAGGTTCTTGTTGCTGCCTCCTTAGATTTCACCCAATCCCAGCCCTCTAAGTGCGCATCCATCTGCTCCTCACATGCAAGGCCATTGTTCCTGGCATCCGTTTTTGTTCCCGAACGCTGCGGTACCCCCTCCCAGAAAAACAAACGGGCTCACTCCGCCAAAAAGTTGTGCGCAAGAAAAGCACAAACTGAACGTTCTCCCGGTTGCAAAGGAGGACCTTGACTGAATTCCACGCGTGCACGAAGGCTTGGGCCTTTTTGTCCCCTCGGCAAAGCTGGCGCAATGGATCTCGGGTCCGAGCGTCGGCTAAAGCGGAACTAAGGCTCCAACGACCCAGGTGCGCTCCGAACTATACACGTGAATTCTGCCGCCCGCAAAACTGTCGTGCACTTCCCCGAGGCTCCTGGGGATTTCAATGGAAGACCCGACCCCTCCATTGAAACACCCCGGGAATTGGTGGTTGGGGGTCTCAAAACCAGGTTGTAAGGACTTAAATCAATTGAATTGGAGCCTCTGGGTTAAGACATTTCGCAGTGAGTCCCTCTCGGACTCTCCTGGGTGCCAAGCCGTGACAGCGTTTGGTCTCGGCCCAGGCACCCCACTGCTACTTTCCAACGAGCTTGGGTAATGGGACTGTCTTTTCGGCGTTTTTTGCTTCTTTTGTTTGGGGCACGTCTCGATTTGCTCTCTGTGACCAAAGGTGATTTGCTCAAGTGTGATGCAAAAAGCCAGCGTCCCCAGAAGTGACACCCAAGGCTCCTTACGTGGCCCTCACTAGCCGTGGCGACTCGGATGCCTTGGTAAATCGGTGCTGCCCGCCGTTCTTGGCACGCTCTCCTGGCCGGAGGGTCGCCACGGACAACAAATTGTCTGGTCGGCTCCGCACTCTCTCTGAACAAATTGTCCGAACGCGACTGGACTTCCCATTTGCCACAATAGCCCTGCAAATCAAGGCTTCGCTTCGCCTTTTGAAAGAAAGCAACGTCCAATATTTCGGTGAGTAGTTTACCCAGCAACCAAGCAACCGCTCCTGCCCGCAACATGCTCCAATAGAGATCGGTGGGCACCATCGTGGTGGCGTCAATTCGCACCTCCTTGGTGCGCTTTACCTCCTTCTCCTCAGCCTTGACGGCCTGAGAAGGCACCAAACAGTCGCTGCCCGAGACGGTGCCGGCGGAAGGTGTTGCATGGGGGTTCTGACATGGAACCTGGCGTCTCATGTTGGTGGATAGGTACAAGTTTGTAAAACACCCTCTCAACAATTGAGGGTATAGAGCCTTGATCCCGCCCTAGCTCAAGGGCACCACGTTGGCTTCAGATGATCCTTTGCAAGAACTGGCCTCATGCTGTTGCTGCATCTGGCAAACAAGTGATGTCTACAAAGCGTTCAAGCGGCCAAGCCCGGTGAGCCTGCAAGCAAGCCGAGCATGACGAAACTGAAACAATCAAGCCCTGGTTTTGTAATGTTGACCCTGTATTAATAATCCCCCCCCTATTAGTCCGGTCCGGCTGACCCCCCCCAATACTAAACAATTCATATCTCAGAAAAACCCCCCCAAATAAAAAAATGATGCCAAAAAAAACCCAATTAGACCGGTGCCTCCCCCAGGTCTCATTTTCTCCACTGCTTCTTGAGCTCATTTCTTAGAAATGGCTGAAAATGTCATCCATATTGAAACTCACACGCTTGCAATTCACAGCATGTACTCTGCACATATGTTTCTTCCTAATCTCTTGCCTTCCCTCCTCATCCAATAGCTTGTGCACTTCTCAATGCTGCATGATAAGCAGCCTGATTGGAACCTGCATCTACTGCACACTCCCACCTCATACTGTGTGAGCCTTGCAATGGCCTTATGATACTCTGCAGGCAAATCTGAAATCTGCAGCTTGGCATTCTCATTCACAATGGCCATGGCTTCAATCTGCAATGAGGTCAATGCCTCACCCTTCTTCATTTTGTTGCATGCCAGATCATAAGTCTTCTTTCTTTCCTGCATGACCTTCTGGCCATACTTCTCCAATAGAGCAATGCCATTGGCAACATCTTTCTTCTTCATGTCTATCTCCTTCTGCAACTGGGGCATGCATCTCTGCATCCTGGCACGCAAAGCTTGCATGGCCTCTTCAGGCCACCCAATGGCAGCAGGGCCATGTCCAGACAACATGGCAACCTCCATTTCCAAGTATGCCATGATATACCATCCACACAGATTGGAGGCATTGGCTCTGTCCAATGGAGGCCTGATCAAGAAGTCCTCATCCACAATTTCGTTGTTCAAAAGCCATGCCAAAATGGCATGTGCCTTGTGCAAGCATGGCTCACTCATAGTTGTCAGTGTCTCATAATATCTGATCTGCTTCTGCTTGCATATGCCTGGTCTCAAATCCACTACCATGAGCACAATATGGTGACCAGCAGCAAATGGCATGAGAAAGCATTTGGCCTCAGGGTTGGGAACAATATTCAACCAAACAATGGTCAACAAACCCAACCCTGCAGTGCCTTGCCCTTCATCTTCTTCAGCATATATGAGCTGATGCCCTCTTGGTTCATGTATTCGGCATCATCAGATAGAATGGCATGCAGCGCAGTTGGATGGATGAACACCACATCCTGGATGTCTGCCATTGCTTTTTTGGTAGCCATCCATCTAATGAGACCATAAGCAATGACCACAGTCTCAATGTCCACATCTGCATGGTCTTTCCTCAGGTCAGCCAATGAAAAAAAAGCATGCTCAGCACAGACCGAACTAATAGGGGGGGGTAAACAAATGGGTCCAAAAATGCTAACTACCAAGTGTTAGCACAAAAGCTGGACGACTTCCAGCTCACCCCACGAATCCAGCAATGCAGGGTCTTCAAATATGATCCCTGCATCTAGCAGGATCTCATGCTTGTGCCATTTCTGCAATGTCAGCTGGTGCCATTTCCATTGCTTCTTATCCTCTCCCAATGGCTCAAGGTAGCTCCTATCCAGCCATGCAGTCCTATTCTTTTTATGAAGCACATCAGCTTCAAGGAGCACATGCAATGCTTTCTCTGATGCCCCCATGGCAGTGCCTTGCCTACCAAACAATGAAGAGCCTGCATGCTCACTCACCACCCTCAGCTTGGAAGAAGGCATGTCCAACTCATGCTCTTCCAATGGCGCTGGGGGGGATGACGGTGGTGGCAGTGGGGGCTCATCAGGCAATGGCTCTGCTTTCGCTGGATGTGAAGCTAATGCCTTGGGCTGCTGCTGCTCATCCTTAATCTTCTCTTTGGCTTTGGTGGCAGCAATCTTTCTGATTCTGTCTTTGAGCTGATTTTTCTTCATATTCTTCGCAATGGTTTTCTTTTTGGCTGTGGTCTTCTTCTTTTTTGTGGATGCACTTGGCACTTGGGCAATCATTTGCTCATGTCTGCTATCAGTCATCAAAGTCTTCTTGATCTCTTCCTTCTCATCTGCTTCCAATGTCTTTGCTTGGGCTCTCTCCTCTTTTCTCTTGCCTTCTGTGCTTTCATCTTTTCTTTTCCTTTTCTGGCCTCATCACTCATCTGCATGTCTTTCAACATGGCCATTCTTCTCAAGTCCAATGGCAGCTGAAACTCACCAGCCTGCACCCATTCTGGCGTGTCCTCATCCTCAATCGCAGGCAGATCAGCTCCTGATGGTGCAGCCTGGGCATAATCCCATTCTATGAGATCACTCAGCTCTTTGGCTCCATCTATCCTCTCCCAATTTGGCTCATTGATTCTGTGGCCTTCATCAAGAACATGTGCCAATCTGTTGTCCAGCCATGTTTTGCTGATCCTCTTGCATCCCAATGGCTTGTCTTTGGCCCAATCTTCTTCACCACAGCATCTCATCCTACCTGTGGCATCAGGTCTGAGTGCAAGGAACCCATTGCGCCTGAGGCCAGCCAAAACCCACGCTTTCTCCTCCTTGGCCTCCACCATATACTGCATAGCAGCATCAACAGCAAAAGCTATTTCTAGGTTGCTGATCTTGGGCAATTCTGTGGAATTTCTCTGCATGGCCTCCACCTTCCTATCAATGTGCAATTTCACTGCTGCCTTGAACTGATGGCTGAAATCTGTATCTGTCAGCTGCATGGCACTGGTCATCTTTGCCATTATTGTTGATTGTGCTTGATGAGATAAAAATCTCATCTTTCTGGTGCTATCACTGAATGCTGCCCCATACGCATCACGTTGGTAGAGTGACACTGGCATCTCATGTGCACTGTCTTGAATGTTCCATGCCATGCAGATGCTGTCCATGTTGCACGATGGTTGTGACATAACTGTGAAATGTCGAACAAGATGTGGATGGGATGCTCGAATCTTTCTCCATCCTTCCAATGCTCTCCCACACTTCTCACCAGCAATGTTCTTGATGATTCTGCCAGCATACTCAATTGTCTCATCATGCAGCCATCTGTCATCAGGCCCAATGTTGGACAATCTGGCATGTTGCCCTGCCACTACCAAAATTCCTTTGGCAACATGTCCTTGAGGTTCTGCATTTGGGTCAAACCATCCAGTCACATACTGATGAGCTTCAAATGTCACTCTGAACTTATCAGTGTTTGCCTCCCTCATGGTTGTGGGATGCATCTTGCCAGTGCTGCCATCAGGCAATGGCATGCTCATCTTCCATGAGCTCTCAGTGGCAGCCTCGCCAGCAGGCACAATGCCTTGCTCATGCTCATTGTCATCAGCTATGGCTGGCTGCTGCAATCCTTTTTGCATGGCTTCTTTGGAAAGCTCATCTGCCAATTGCTTCCTCACCTCATGTGTTGGCTTTGCACCTTGCCTGGTCTCATGCTTGGCAAAGACTTGTCTCATGGTCTGCCTCTTTGCCCAAAGAGGCACTTGATCGCTGAATGCCAGAACACATGAGTTCATATGCTGGACTGCTTCCTCAGGTTTGGCAAACATGTCTTGCAATTCTGATGCATCTCTTTTGGCAAGCTTGTGCATGAGAAAGTCATGATGCCACCATGTGAGTTCAGCACGAGTTTGCTGCTCAATCTCTGAGATCTGGGTCACCAAATTGGGCATCCAATATCTCGCACCAATCCAGCCAATGATCACATCAG